GTAAATGCAACATTAATTGTTATTTACTGTTTTTTTAAAATTCTTCTTCTTTTAATTTTTCTCTCTCTGCAATACTATTTTTTTTCTCATATTCTCTAACACTCAGTAATCCATTACATCTTAGCGGCTTTATTGCCTTTCATGGAGTGAAATGATTAAAAAAAACTAAAAAGAATTTGATGACTACAATCAACAACTACCATTAAAATGGTGAACATTTCTTGTTATGGTCCAGGTTAGGATCAAGGAAGAACAACACAAACACAAGAGTAGAAATAACGAAGGTATATTATATGAAATAATAATACAAGATGTGGAAGGTATGACTGTCAGTCTGGTTTGGAATGAACTACTATTGGCTCGACTCAATTCGTCCCTCTCTCTTGAGAGGCGTAGTATACATAGTGTTAGGAAGAGTTCATTCTGTAGTTGTAGGTAAGGATCCATGACATTTCTAATCCTAACTTTCCAGATTTGATAGAATCCTAAAGTTGTTTATATGGCTTTTGTGGGAGAGAGGACATTTCACCCGGTAGAGACTTTCCCACAGACATAGCATTATAACCTTATCACTACTCTGTTGTTATTTCCAAGACAAATGTTCAGACTGAAACATGCCACAGAGTCTGTTCATAACATAAGAGGAAAAAACAACCCTAAATCAGAATGCTTCTACCAACATGTTTAACTATTAAGATAATATTTTAAGGATCATACAAAATATCCTTCTTTCTCCAAATTATTTCATTTTACTTATCAAGCTATAATATTTTAGACTTATCAAACCATATTATTTTATTTATTAAGCCATAATATTTTAGACTTATCAAGCCATATTATTTTATTTATTAGGCCATAATATTTTAGACTTATCAAACCATATTATTTTATTTATCAGGCCATAATATTTTACTTATCAAGCCATAATATTTTAGACTTATCAAGCCATATTATTTTATTTATTAGGCCATAATATTTTAGACTTATCAAACCATATTATTTTGTTTATCAAGCCATAATATTTTACTTATCAAGCCATAATATTTTAGACTTATCAAGCCATAATATTTTACTTATCAAGCCATAATATTTTTCACAAAATGGAAGTTGGCTTCTTCCAATGATAATTATCAAAATCTAGACAAACACATGCAAGAAAATCAATCCTACATAGCCTTGATAAAGTCTCTCAGAGGATGAAACACATCAGCTAAGAATAGTTCTTCCTCTCATCTTTTTATTCATATATATACACTACTATATATACTAAACATTAAATCTGTTACGAAAAAAGAACTAAACAAAATGAACACAAAACGAAAAGCTGTAAAAAAAGACTTGTAAGTGGAAAAACTGAATGAAAAAAGAATGTTAACAACAAATACTTTTTCACACCCAACCCAGTTCTTCGGAATCAGAATCAACATTAAGTTTAAGCAAGTGAATGAGCAAATTGGAGTAAAGTACCATGCAGATTTAAATTTTTCTCACTTGTGGCGAATGCAGCTATCGATTTTTTTTGCATGCTAGTTAACATTCATGTCAGTCAGCTGTTGCTCTCACATTGGCCAATAGAAGAATCTTCCTGCCTATTTGCGGCAACCAGCTATTGGCTCTCACTCTGGCCAGTAGTAAATGGCATAAACTACATGAAAACTGCCATAGAAGCATGAAAAATCGATTATTTCCACTATCGATGGGAGTTGGGAAATGCCAAAGTTGGTCTTGGCCTTCCTACTAACTTGGAGCATGTGCATGTAAATTTTGGTGCAAATCTGTCAAAAATTGTGGCTGTGCATTCGTTACACACACACACACACACACATCCTGCCTTTTTAGATATATATATATATATATATATATATATATAGGCAAAGTTGATATACATTATAAAGTGCCCACTATTAGGTATATGAAATATACACAAAAACAAATCAAATATAAATATGTTCGTTGAGCTGAGAGTTTATATATATAATTTATTTGAAAATTATAACATAAATATCTTATAAAATCACTACAAAAATAGCCATTTTGTTTCAACACTTCTGGTGTCTTATCAAGTGATGATGTTGAATCACTTGATATGACACCAGAAATGTTGAAAACAAAATGGCTATTTTTGTAGTGATTTTATAATATATTTATGTTATAATTTTCAAATAAATTATACTTGCTCTACTCTATATTGAGCACTCTTTTATGAATAGTATTTTTTTTGGCTATTGGAATTTATTCTGTGTACACCAACCCTATACATATATATATATATATATATATATATATATATATATATATATAATTAACAAAAATTTTGGTAATCCATATTGATAATCACAAGGAGGGAAATCCTGAGAGCTCAATGTTAAGTCAGTAAATAATTTAATTTAAAGAAAACACAGATCACTTTAAGGTTCCATTAGTTATAATTTATTTCACCAGAGATTTTATTTTTCTCTGGATCTTCAGACTTCACTTTCAAAGGTGAAAGAATGAACTTAAAATTTACACTTTTAAAGGGCAGTATTATGCTTATAAAAGGTGACAGAGAGGGTGGTGAGGTATAGCGTGAGAGACATAGTCAAATTTAGAGAGGGAAGGGTGAGTTTTAAAATTTATTTTTATTTTTATTACAATACTTAATATTGAGGAAGAGGTGGGTAAGGATTAGACATTGACCTATTTAATCGGTCAACTCAATGGAAATGATATGAGAAAGAAGGAGAAAAGAAAAAAGGAAAAAGAAAAATGGGGGAAGTAAAGAGATAAGAAATAAGAGATGGACTTAAGATTTTGAAGGAGGGAGAATGTGGGTATAGCCTGATGTTTGGGCAATTTAGATAAACACAGATTTTAATGTTTGATAGTAATTTAAATGTTTAAAAACTCCATAAATAAACTAGATTGAATGCTTGATAGCAATTTAAATATTTAACTTCTCCACAAGTAAATTAGGGATTTAATATAAACTGAATATTATATTAATAAACTATTAATACATATATATATATATATATATATATATATATATATATATATATATATATATATATATATATAGGGTGTGATGGCCAAATTGTTGTCTAAATTATGCAAAAATGAAAATAATACTGACATTTTCATTGTTTTAAGAACACATATATTTATCAAAATTACACAAAAGTATCTTGAAATACTAAAGACAATTCTTGACTTGCGTGAACTTCATCTAAGAGACCAAGAATGAGGTCTGACTAGTGAAGGTTCAATCCAATTGATCTTTTACTTTCCAACAAATGGATATACTTAACTATTCACTTACATTATGCTAACGGTAATATTAGCCGTTAACTTATATGGAAACATTTGGCATTCATTGGTCAAGCAGCCAGTCTTACTCTAGTTAGCTTTCCTTCACTCTGTGGGCTTCAGGCTGAGATCAAAGTGTAGCATCTGCCTTCAGTTGGATAAACAAAATTTTATCTCTCAATTGTGTTTCTGTCTTCAAACAGAACACAACAAATAAATGAGGGATGCTTGGTCCTGGGGATTCCAACCCTGTGGCAGCACTTCCCTCATTACACCAAAAAGGGAGAGTTGGTGGTATATTGATGCCAATGCAAACTGGCCTTGTTCCATATTTTCTCAATGTGTGTTGGGGAGGAGCAAATACCAAGTGTAGTATCTGTTTTCCTCATTTCTGTATACTAATGGTAATATTAGCCAATTTGTAATTTATAATAAATTATAACCATGGAATATTAGTGTTTAAGCTTTTTATATTATATTCTTGCTCTGTCTTGTACATAGAGCTCTACCTGGATTTATCCTCTTGGAAATATATATATATATATATATATATATATATATATATATATATATATATATATATATATATATATATATATATATATATATATATATATATATATATATATATATATATATATATATATATATATATATATATATATATATATATATATATATATATATATATATATATATATATATATATATATATATATTGACAATAATATATATATATATATATATATATATATATATATATATATATATTGACCATAATATATATACATATATATATATATATATATATACATTTATGTTGGTTGAGCTGAGAGTTTTTCAATAATAATGATTTTTGTCAGTATCAATTCACCTTAGATATTTGCTGAAAAGAATGACAGGTATCATTCAATATATCCAAATCTATACTTATAAATAGTTTTCACCATGGAGCAGAGCATAAACCTGCACCAATCCTGATGGCTGGTCATGTTCTCAAAGAAGTTTCTTGCCTTGAATGCCTACTGGGTCCAAAACTGACCCCAAACCTCAAATGGAGTCCATATATTTGTATCGCACCAGAAAATACTTAAAAATACCTGCTGTTGCCATGCTCTACTTTTACAAGTAAGAATGGTGTATTGTTGCTATATCTTGGCTGTTGCTGCCCGATCAATACTGTCCAATCTCAACAGAGTTCAAAAGTTCTTCAGTGACCTTGTGGGTAATGAATTATTCTCCACCCTGAAACCTTTATCTCACAGATTAAACGTTGCTACTATGTCGCTATTATGCTAGATGTTTGCATGAGCTATATTTCAGAGTTCCACCATCTCAGACTTTCAAAGCTAGGAGCCCCCACCATGCCATGTTCATTGTGGCACACCATCCCTTTTCCCTTCATGTTCCTTTCATAAAAAGTATGTCTGACTTGGACAGCTCTTGCAAACAATAAATAATTGCCATTAAATTTATGATCAGAAAAAGAACAAACAGTAAATGTTTATAAATCTAACATGTTTCACTTTTATTAAAGCTTCATCAGAGAATGAGATAAGGAAAAAATATTTGGTATATTTATTTTTGTTTGATTTTCATTGGTTAAGTATACTTCAAGTTCATTTGACTTGTAAAGCAGCATTCATGTGTATCATTTATATGTGTAAGTGTCTCATAATTCTAGTTTGTAGGATTCAGATGATAATGTATATATGTGTAAAATCTATCTATCTCAGTCTATTTATTATCTATCTCAATTTGTACTCAATCTCTCTCTAACATTCTATGCTAAACCTATTAATATCTATATCATTTTATTCATTATCTATCTATTTCAGTTGTCTCAATTGATGCATCTACTTCTGATTCTTAAATTTTGTATTTCATTTTCACATATGAATATCTATCTTTTTATTTGTCTATTTTCAATCTATCTCATTCTGTTCTAATCTATCTATCTATATATCTATATATATATATATATATATATATATATATATATATATATATATATATATATATATATATATATATATATTCGTTATCTATTGATCTATCTATCTATCTATCTCAGTCTGTTCATATCTATCTATCTATATATATATCTATTCATTATTTATTTATCTATCTCAGTCTGTTCATATCTATCTATCTATCTATCTATCTATATATATATATATATATATATATATATTTCATTATCTATCTCATTCTATCTATCTCATTGTATTCATTATCTATCTACTCATTATCTATCTATCTATCTATCTATCTATCTATCTATCTATCTATCTATCTATCTATTCATTATCTATCTATCTATCTCATTGTATTCATTATCTATCCGTCTGTTCATATCTATCTATCTATCTATCTATCTATCTATCTATCTATCTATCTATATATATATATATATATATATATTCATTATCTATCTCATTCTATCTATCTATCTCATTGTATTCATTATCTATCCGTCTGTTCATATCTATCTATCTATCTATCTATCTATATATATATATATATATATATATATATATATATATTCATTATCTATCTATCTCAGTTTGTTGATATCTATCTATCTATCTATCTATCTATCTATCTATCTATCTATATTCATTATCTATCTCATTCTATTCATTATCTATCTATCTATCTCAGTCTGTTCATTCTATCTATCTATCTATCTATCTATCTATCTATCTATCTATCTATCTATCCATCCATTCTATCTATCTATTCATTATTTATTTATCTATCTCATTCTGTTCATATCTATCTATCTATCTATCTATCTATCTATATATATATATATATATATATATATATATATTCATTATTCATCTATCTATCTATCTCTATCTATCTCATTCTATTCATTATCTATCTATCTATCTATCTATCTCAGTCTGTTCATATCTATCTATCTATCTATCTATCTCAGTCTGTTCATATCTATCTATCTATCTATCTATCTATCTATCTCAGTCTGTTCATATCTATCTATCTATCTATCTATCTATCTATCTATCTATCTATCTATCTATCTCAGTCTGTTCATATCTATCTATCTATCTATCTATCTATCTATCTATCTATCTATCTATCTATCTATCTCAGTCTGTTCATATCTATCTATCTATCTATCTATCTATCTATCTATCTATCTCAGTCTGTTCATATCTATCTATCTATCTATCTGGTTCTGTCATTTATATTTATCTATCTCACAGCATGTCTATTACTCGTTGCAAATATTCAACATTGCAAGCCTCTCACTACTCTGTCGTTATTTCCATGACAAATTTTCAGATTAGGTCCATTTTTTGGTTCCCCCGTTTACTGCTAGGACACACCATGCTACAATCCCCAAAAGAACGAGAGTGAACCATACTCATTACCTTTTTATTCCACTGTTAAGAAGGAAGTTCCATTTTCAAAGCTTCTTCCCAAGAGATGTCGTCTTTTGGAACAGATTCCCAAGTGAATGCTTCCCTGATCAATACAATCACCCTCCTTTCCTCCATATTCCAAATGTAAGAAAGTTCCTCTTAGACAGCTTTGTTGCTTTCTGGAGAATGCTTCCCTAATGACCACAATGTTGGTCTCTTTATGTCCAGGGTAAACTGATATCTATCCCACTCATCCTAATAATAATCCCTGGTTTCTCTCTCACTACACCAATCTCACTCATTAACTCTGTTCCTTGAGTAACTCTTGGGCCTTATAGTTGGTGAACTAATAGTAAAAAAAAATAAATTCAAATCATAAAATAAGACATCATTGCCATGTAAATATTCACACCTTTTTTCAACAATTTTATTCTGACATATATTCTTTGTAATGAAAGTGATTAATTTTCAGGTAAGAACCCTTAGCTGTTATTATTAAACAAAAAGTATTTACATCTTTGATGGGATACGGTGTATTTATTTCATTATTTAAATTATTTTTTCTATTTTTCTTTCAAATCTGTAGTTTTTTTTGTTTTTATTTTCTCTCCTTTTCATTTATTTTACTTGTCTAATATCTCAATTTTTTCCCTTGCAAATGATTTTTCCATTCTTTTTCTAAGAACTCTTGACAAAATCTTCATTAGTTCTTGCCATCCACTCTTTCTTGCCATCTCCCAAACCCCAAGGAGACATCTTACCAACTGAGTGCTAAACTGTCAAGTATAGTGAGGGGATAGGGTGGAAAGTGAAACTCTCTGACTACTTTAAATCAAATCCTTGATATGAATTCTGTTCAGTCAACCATTTAGCATCATTGACTGCTAAAATCATATTTGCTAATCTCTCGTGGAAAAGCGACAAGAAAACAAAGGAAGAGGAACCAATGAGAAGGAGAAAGAGGAAAGAATAAAAATAACTTGAGGAGCTAAAGAGTTCCACTCCCCTGCATATAAATCATAGCGAAGAGGCTCTATGTGCAGCTGTCGGTGAAGCCAACAGCAAATTTTCATTCACACCTCACTGGAGCTATAAAGGAAAGAGAAATATCACTAGTCATATTTATTGTCTTCTCTTTCTTTTGCTGTTATTCACTCATTTTTTTTTTCTTTCTAGTTTTTTTTCATTTTTTGTGACCACTTCTTTTACTTTTACTCCTTCTTTATCATTCATTCAGTTTTCTTCTTCTTTCTTTTATTGTCTTTTATTTATTTATTTATACATCTCTGCCTATCAAATTAATCACTGATGCAGTATAAATTGAAAGAAAATCGAACCATTTTCGTGGGGGTAATTTTTCATTTCAAAGTCCCCTAATTGAACTGTTGTCAGTATAAATGCAGCACCCAGCAGTTAACATGAATATGTTCACTATTTTATAGATCATAAAGCCAATAGCACCCCTGAGCCAATATGGCTACTCTCTATTCCCTTTCCTTTTTTTATATTCTAGCTCTTAAGCCTACTGACCCTTGAGAAATACACATGGTAAATAGTTTCTCCTATTATTTCTTGCACAGGCATCAATACTTAATACATCCAAGATAGTTTCTTTCATTCCACCATTTTTCCATGAAATTTTGAATGAAAGGCTTAGTGGTGAGAGTACAGAACTGGAAACTTCAGGGTACATGGTTCAATATCCAATATCAGTTTGACTACATAATAATTAGAAATAATAATAAACAATGTATATATATATATATATATATATATATATATATATATATATATATATATAAAAGAAATATGTTGTAGTGGTTCCAACGAGAGAAAAGTATGTATATTAAAAAGAAGAGGGTGCTGCAAACGTTTTTGGTTGTAATGTGGATTTATTGAGAAAAAATATTATACTTTTTTTTTACATAATTTCACGACACGTGTTTCTGGTCTGGTCTCAACCGTCTTCAGGTGAAAGTGGAGATTTTTACATATTATTAAAAATAATTAATTTTTCTTCATGTTCAATGTGGAATATTCTCGATATGAGACATTCTGTTTGTGTGTTGGCAATCCGAATTTTCTTTTCTAGAATTGTCAATGAAGAGTTCTGCGTGAAGGGTCATAAAACAATTAAGGTTTGTCCAGTGAGTAGTTATCGGCATTTAATCTTTTAATGTTTTAGTGACCTCTATGTGCTCTTGGATCTGTTTCTATTTTGGCGTGTTCCTGTCAGCATGCGTGTATATATGCGTCGTATATTTCCTTACTACGAGGAATTAAGTAAACTTATTTGTACTTATACACGCATACACACACATACGCACATACACACTATCCCACCACAAGTAGTCAGTACACACACACATATACACACATATTTCCCAAGCTACATGGAACCAGTACACACACATACACACACACACACATACATGCACACACACACACACACACACACACGTACTTCTTTTTAAGTTGTCAACATCCGTATAGACCAGAAACACGTGTCGTGAAATTATGTAAAACAAAGTATAATATTTTTTCTCAATAAATCCACATTACAACCAAAAACGTTTGCGGCACCCCTCTTCTTTTTAATATATATATATATATATATATATATACATACAATACAGTTATTATTTCTTTCAACTTTTTCTACAGTTGACAGCTCAGTATTTGTTTTTGTACATCTATCCTGAGGATCATTTATTGTATTTTTATTTTCTGTTTTTGCTTACCTAGAGTTATATTGTATCAATTTTGAATTTTCAATTCATGTTCATTTCTTATCAATTAACAGTTTAGATGTTATTGCTGTCAAAAAGGTTGTATAAATTATTTTATTGTATTTCATAAATAATGACTTCATAATCATTGAGTATTTTAAACTTAAATACCAATATATATTTACATTTTCACTTTCAGTTTCATTTATCAAAGTTAACAAACTTTTCAATATTTTGGTTTAATAAGGGTTGTTTTACGGTATATCAACAACTCAATGGGTTATTTCATGCTGACAAGATTTTTATTGATGGTAATATTTTTTTTCAAACATGTATTGCTGGTAATTTTTTTTTTTAAATGTATTGTTGGTAATATTTATTTTCTTCAAAAGAGTATTTCTGGTATTAAAACCTATTTTTACACTTTCATAGTGTTTTGACCCCAGTTTGTGGTTAACTATTTGCCCATAGTTGGAAACCTAACAGATGCTACCACCCCTGGTCAGGGTGGACCTGGGAACACCAGCAATTAAAAAGTGGTTCCATGCTCCTCAAAACCTCCTGATCAGAGTTGCTGTTGGATGTAGTTTATTGCCTTACCCAGGACGCCTCATTTGGTCGGGGGGGGGCTCTTTCCCCACTGCAGATGTGAAGTCGGTGTATTCTGAAGCCCCAGCCGACAGGGTGAGAGGTTGTTTTATGGATGTAAGTGTATATTGTGAAGGTAGTTAAGAGAGATAATGGTTGACCCAAGATTTGATGAAGCTAAGATTGTAGTCAATGGAGAAGCATTATCTCGGGAGTATGTTCAACATATGTAGCGGTTCTTTCCAATTGAATACAAAGAGAATGAGGATAATTCGTCCCTGTGAACATTTCAAATCATCTCTTTCACTAATATCACAAATCATTCATTATAAACATTTTAACAGGAAACGTCTACTTTAAATGGATTCTGAGCCTTATGTTTGATTAACTTTAATATAGAAAAACATGTTTGGATAAATGTCTCTTGTTTTATATTTTATTGGCTCTTTAATCTCTATCTATAAAAGGCAGGATGTGTGTGTGTAACGAATGCACGGCCGCAATTTTTTTTGCACCAAAATTTACATGCACATGCTCCAAGTTAGTGGGAAGGCCAAGACTGACTTTGCATTTCCCAACTCCCATCAATAGTGGAAATAATCGATTTTTTCATGCTTCTACGGCAATTTTCATGTAGTTTGCAGCTATTGTGTACTGGCCAGAGTGAGAGCCAATAGCTGGCTGCCACGAATAGGCAGGAAGATTCTATTGGCCAGCATGAGAGCCAACAGCTGACTGACATGAATGTTAACTAGCATGTGAGCAGGCAAAAAAATTTGATAGCTGCATTCATCACAAGTGGGAAAAATTTAAATCTGCATGGTACTTTACTCCAATTGGCTCATTTGCTTGCTTAAACTCAACGTTGATTCTGATTCCGCAGAACTGGGTTGGGTCTGAAAAAAAAGTATTTGTTGTTAACATTCTTTTTTTTTCATTCGGTTTTCCAGTTACGAGTCCTTTTTAAAGCTGATCATTTTGTGTTCATTTTGTTTAGTTCTTTTTCGTAACAGATTTAATGTTTAGTATAGAGCTTAGAAAAAATTTGCAGTGTGAGATAGGCAAGAATTAAGGCATGTAGCAACATCAGCATGGCAAAGGGCACCCCTTTAAAGGCAAGGAAGGGCAGAAATATTTTAAGTCAAGTGATAGTGATTGCTGTATGAGTAGCACGATTTTTTAATCAAGCACGGGCAATGCCGGGCCATGCTGCTAGTCTATATATAAAATTCTGTGATTTCGATTAGTTTGTCCATCACACCCTTTAAAATAACCATACATTGACCAACCAGAACCAAATTTTGGGAAGAAGTACAAACACGTAAGGGGATACTTTGAAGTTTTGATTTAAAGATTTTGTTCTTATTAATTCTGTGAATTATTAAAACTGCTGATGGATGGAGAGAGTAATGTTGGGTTTGGTTTGGTTTGTTTTATGGGATATCAACCTCTATGGGTTATTCAATGCTGACAAGATTTTTATTACTGGTAATATTTTTTTTCAAAAATGTATTGCTGCTAATATTTTTTCTTTTCCAAAAATGTATTGCTGGTAATAATTTTTCCTTCAAAAATTCATTGCTGGTAATAATTTTTACAGAAATGTATTTCTGATATTAAAACCTATTTTTACACTTTGAAAGTGTTTTTGACCCCCAGTTTAGGGGTTAACTATTTGTCCATAGATGGGACCCCCTAACAGGTGCTACCACCCCCAGGTCAAGCAATTAAGAGCTGGTTCCACGCTCCTCAAAATCTCATGATCAGAGGCCTTGCTGCTGGATGTAGTTTATTGTCTTACCCAGCGCAGATTCAGTATTTGTGTTTGCATGACTTTTTCATAATTTATCTTGCTTTCTAGTATTTTTGTTTATCTAATGTTAATATATTTAAAAATTTTATATTTTTTGGGGGTGGGGGTGAGCTTCTAAAACAATAATGTATATTATGTTTATATAAGTACATTATATATAATACAAAAATTGTCATAGCTGGATGTGACTGAGGGGACAAGCTCGCACTGTTTATAAATGCTTCTGTGGCATGTGTCTCAAATAAGCTTTGACAATTAAATCCAGTTCCAGAGAATTGGCAAAAGTGGAAAACTGGCATCTCATAACCAACTTCTTTGAGAAGATGAACCTTGACAACCCAAGAAGGCAGTCCATCTAGGGGAAAGAAAATCCTGTCTTGTGGTCATTATTTCTCCTCGGCCTTTTGGCTGGGGGTTTTGACAATTAATGGATCGGTTCTTGGTGGAAGACTGAGATTCGATCAAGCTTTGACTAGCTTGGACTGGCTTCGGCCTGGACCTGTTAGGACAAGTTATGACCAGCTTTGACTAGGCTCTGACCAGCTTGGACAAGCTATGACTAATATTTTGACCAGTGGCCTATGAGTGGAAACACTCGGGTCTCCCACGTTAATCAACCTTGTGTCATATCTTGATTTAGTGGGAATCAAGTAAATACCATATCCAAACATGAAAAAGGCTATGGAAGTAAATCCAGTCAGAAAACCAACAATGAAGACCCAGGCGTGGCTAGTAGTCAGCACCAACAACTTACTGGCAAAAACTGTTAGTAAGCTGGCCTCAAATGTAACACCCTGTATTCCTTTGGATCTTGTTGGTATGTATGAATGTGTGTAGGGGAGGGGAGTAATTAGTCTGGTAGCAGTGCATGGCCTTTATATACCATCTCCCAGGCCTGTACCCTGGAGAGTTCACAACAGTCTTACCAACAAAGGACTGAATTTGGACCAAACAGGGCACAATCTTTATCTTACGAGATAAACAGATACCTACAACATAATTATTAGTATTTTTTAACTACAAAAAATATACCTGAAGATGAGTTTTCAATGGCAAGGTATTTTAATATCATCCAGAATGGATTGGTTAATTTCTTGACATACAATACTTTTTAGACTATTTAATATTGAATATCTTATAGGAAAAATTCACAATAACTTTCATTGTAATTG